GTAATGTATGCAGCCTAGCAAAAAAAAAAAACAAAGTTGATTTCATTGGATTTAATTACCCAAAACAAAAAGGGAAAACTAAAATGTGGCGGATAATGCCTAAGGCCTAATTTCTCAACTAACCTACTCACTCCACCAACTCAAAAGTCGGCCACGATGCCATCCCCTCCTCCCCTCCTAGCAATAGCCTACCTCTAGATTCCCTTACAGAAACAGAGCCTATCTACTCTGATCTAGAACTCTCCTCACCACACCGTAAATCCCGTCCACCAATACCTTCCTCCCGGGCAAATCTTCCATCTACCCACTATATTCTTTCCTCCTCTTCGAACGCAGACGAGCTTTCTCTGAATCGTAGGCAATTTAGCCTGTGTAATGTGTTCATCAATCAAAATCATCCCCACAAGTTTCAAGATTTGCAAATCAATAGCGTTCTTTCAGATGATGCATGCAGAGACTCCGGCCTCCTCTCGACTTCCTCCATCAACCCAACCATCGATTTCATCTTCTTCACTAAATCAACGATAACCATTGCCAAAAACTTCCTCTTCCTCTGTCACAGTGAAATAAAGTCACGAATTTTGTAAGGAAATTCACGCTCCAACAACTAATAAATCGCGATTTTTTCGAGAACTCCTCCGGATTCGCATTTTTGCGCTCCAGAGCAGGAGCGTCGAGCCATATATGACGAATTGTGTGACCTAAGTCATAACTAGGTATGGACATCATAGAAATGAGTGCTACATTTAAGTTGTTGGTTCTGCTAAAGCACGGATCACCACGGTAATGAGTGCAACATTGCAACTACAACTTTATGGAAGAAAGGAGGTGATGGCCTTTTCTGGTGCTACTACTAAGGCAAGTCTACTTGTCGTAGGAAAAATATTGTGGCAAGGTCATATTCCTACTGAGACTATGAACTACTAGTAATAAACTATATCTTATATTATTTAACTAGTCCTTTATAAATTCTTTTAATTAACTAACAAAAGGAGTGAAATTCAGCATAACAAAAGCATACCCTTACACAAATTCAAGCGGAGAAGGTGTTGTTCGAACTTTAAATCCTCCAAGCTAATTCATACTTATCAATTGAGGTTATCTTTCTTTGCAACCGTAACAATTTCCAATTTAGTATAACCTGGTCTTCTTGCTTATTAATACCCTATTGTCTATTCAATCTAGATATGGTATTCTCTTGGACCTAAATTCAATTGACCAATGCAGTAACCTATGAATTCAAAAGCGCAATTCTACCTAAAATCGAAAAAGGGGTAAAATTGTAAAGCTTAGAATCAAAGTGCAAAAGCGTAAGTTTTTTACGCCAATAGTAAAATAGCTAAAAATATGTTAAGTATGACATATACTATGAAAATGTGAGTCCACATAATTTAGATAAGTTAATAAATACCTTAAATTTATGTCTAAAGTAGAGCAACTCATAACATCTTAACAATAAGTTCATAAACATAGATCTTAACAATAAACCACATTCCTGATATGATCCAAATTGGCCAACTCTACACGTTTTTATTGATTGCCAAAGAAGCTATCAAAGTTGGGAATAGGGCTGGTATTCGGTAAACCGGTATTCGGTATACCGGGTATCGAACCGATTATAATCGGTATTCGGTATACCGAATACCGTCGGTATCGGTATTCGGCTGCACTTCTTGGCCAAACGGTATACCGAATACCGACCAGTCATATACCGACGGTAAATCGGTATACCGAATACCGAATAACAAAAATAAAAAAAGGAAACGACAGCGTTTGAAATTGGGAGTTGGGGGGGGGGGCGTGTAAACCCTAAAATTAAATCAACATCTGCGCAGCCCAGCACATCGGCCCCTCCACCTTTCCTCTGTTCGACTTCAACTCTTCTTCTCCAGCCCGCCGAGGCGAATTCCAGCGCCACCACAGCACGCCCCGACGGTCTTCCCCCAGGACATTCATCCCGCCCTTTCTTTATCAGCCGCAAATCCCTTTCCACCAACCGCCGCCACCACTACTATCTAATCCTTTGCCTAAACTCAAATTCTCCTTATCACCAAGGGGATGCTTTGAGCGTCAGTCAGTTCCAATGCTTCAAGTTCCAAGTATTCACAATAAACTTCAATTGGATTCCAATTAGTTAATCTCCAATGCTATCGTGAGTTTCTTTATCTCGAATTCTAATGGTATAATCTCAATGCATTAATCGGTATTCGGTATACCGGATAACATTCGGTATCGGTATTCGGTGGGTACACAATGTTATCCGGTATACCGGATACCGACCGATTACCAGCCCTAGTTGGGAAGAAGAAGGGCAGAATTTGGCTAAGTCAAAATCCGTGTTCAGGGTACATATTTTGGAGGCATGGTTCTCTCAATTGGAATAATGGAAATTCAAGGTTAAGAGTTTGTTTTAAAGATAAAGTTACCATCTTTCCAATGGTAGGCTTTGTGAATCCAGAAGATGTCATTAAGGTTGTTTTCCAAGGCCTCAAAGTTGCTACCTCGAAACTGGAAAACTGCCAGAAAATGACTAAGGCAGAAAACTGTTCTGTGAAGCCTAGTTTGGAGCTCAATTCAAGGAGCATGGATGAGATTCAAGTCAAAATGCTTCCACAACATGAAACTAGGTATGTTTGTGAACAACGGGAAGGAATTGGATGAAGAATTGGAGTTCGGGAAGGCCTTCAACAAAAGGCACGAAGTTAGTACGAAAGCTGCCTTTTGACTGTTTTGCGGGCAGCTTACTTGTGCTTGAAGAAAGAGAGTTTAAATCCGAATTTTGTGTCCTTTTTAGTGTATAATTTTACCTTAATTGTTTTCTAGTTCTAATAGGATTATATTAGGTTTTATTTGCCTTTAAATACCGTTCTATTTCGTTGTAAAAAGAAGACTTTGATTAATCGAAAAACCTTTGGTTTGTGCAAGTTGCGACTTGTTTGAGTTTGGTGGATTCCAAGCTTGTGAGCTTTGTATCGATTGAATATCCTCTTCAATCGTGGTCGAGCAGCTACCCTTTTATACCATACGAGCTTTCCCCAGGTGTGGAATTGTCCGTTGGTTCCTTTTTATCCCAATTTCGTATTAAGAACACTTCGTTCTTGAGTCGAGCTCAATCGATTCTTCGATTGAGTCGTTAGCTGCGTGACTTTGATAACATACACCTCCCAGGGGCGTATTAATTCCCCTCTATACTAATGAATTTGGGAAGGGCCTAGATGTTGAATTAGAATATTCTATTGAATCAAAGAATGCATCCAAGTACCTGGATTGTATATTTTAGTCTCAAATGTATCTTATTGTGGTGATTTTACCTTTACAATATACTTTTTATAATTAATTTCATGAATAGAATACCATTTAGTGAACTAGAAGCGTAAAAACATAAAACATTTTGGTGAACTAGAAGCATAAAAGCGTAAGCTTTTAAATTTTAAAGTGCAAATTAGTCCAAGCTTTTAAATTTTAAAGTGCAAATTAGTCCAATTTTATATGGAAACGAAAGCGTTTTCGTGACCAAAAAGCATATAACCGTAAGCTTTTAAGTTTTAAAGCGCGATTTTAACTGCATTGCCAATAACCAATTTCAGAATCACCCTATTAGGCTTAACCCTAATATGGATATATCTCGCCCTCTATCTTCTAGCAACTTGAGATTCTCTTCATCTAAGAGCATTCTTCATGCATATGGAGATCTTCTCCTAGTCATACCTATGAAGCAATCAAGTAAAAAAGTAAAAAATAGGCGCACAACTATTGAATACTCATATGATAAAATCAAAGATACATAAACATTGATATCCATATATAATCAATCAACTCAGTATGTCATAGTTAGGGTTCATTTAATACAAACAAAAGAGAAGGATTAGTTCATGGAGAGTGGAGAAACAAACAAATTAAAGTAGAGAAAGAAGAAACGATCTTCATGGTAGAACTCTTGATTGATTGCTCCAAGGTGACTCCTTTAGGGTAGAGCTATTGGAAAAATCCTCTCTTCTGCCCTCTAACTCGTATTTGATTGTTTAGGTTTAGTATTGTCAAACTCCCTTTAAGAAAAGACTTAAAATAGGTTAATTAGCAAAGACAGATAGTCGCACATGGCATTGGACTATGTACGACCTGACACATGGTCGGGCCCTGCTTGTGAACTCCTTGACATGAATTAAATTTTGCTTAATTTCTGGAATTGTGTTGATTCTTACCATGGCCTGCTCCTCGGCTGTGAGACTGACTTGGGGACCTTCGCAAATCCATATGAAAGCATGTCCCAAGTGCTCTCTAAGCCATCAAATGCACAACTTCCATACTCTGTGTATTTCTTGTCCAAATATCGTCAAATTCAATCTTTGTGACCTGAAACACACTTGAGAAACAAACCAGGCGTAAACTAGCAAAAACATAAGCTGTAGTACTTCAAAAGTTATGCAAAATGAATTTTTTGTCATGACATTCAGATTGTGGAGCACAAAGTTATGGTCTTCCAAAGCTTGTCAAAATCGAAAAATTGCTCGTTCGGGGTAGCAAATGCATTTTTTTTGGGATGAAGGCAATGTTGCACATTGAAAGATCTTGAAAAGTTATGTGGAATAATTTTTTTTCCGCTACAATCGGATAACCGAGCGCAAAGTTACGTTTGTTTGAAGTTTCAGTGTTACGTCAGGCATTCACCGCGGCCGTCAACCGCGGTGATGCATTCACCGCGGTGGTCTGCCGCGGTGAATGCATTCACTGTGGTTGACAACAGCGGTGATGCCCAAACATGTGTATTTTGGGGAAAATTTTTTATAACGTGTATTTTGAGAATTTTTTTAAAAATGTGTATTTTGAGATTTTTTTTTTATTTTCCTTTATGCCTTTCATCATTTTGCTTTGCTGGGACGTGAGTTGAAATTTTCAATTGTAGGTCAGGTCAGGTGAGGTCTGGTTGTCCAGAGTTTTTATGCTCCATTCCGTTCCGAACGACCAGAAAACCATGCATGCTAATTGGGGGGTAATGGATTGGAGTTGGCTCACCGCAATAGTACTCAGTGCTGGCTGCGTGGCTTTAGGTTATTACATTGGCTCCCGCCGCCATGGCTTCGCGTTTCTCCGGCGGAAACTGGGTAGCGATTCCATTGATAAGAGCTCCGCCAAACGCAAGTCGAAGTAGCCCCTTGAGATTGAAAAGCTCCCAGATATTCTTCAAGACTTTAAAATGGTATTCCTCTCTCCCTCTCCATCTCTTCGGTATCCTGCAAAATTGGCTGTCCTATCTTATCTTTTCTGATTTGTTGCTTATTTACAGGTTCTGGTTGTTAGGAATGATCTTAAGATGGGAAAGGGCAAAATCGCCGCACAGTGTAGGTATGCTCTTTACTGGAAGTCTAGAACCCCACCTTGTGAAATCAAGTAGAAAAGGTATATTGTAATGGAACCCGTAGGGTTCTCAATGGCGCAAATCCTGTATTTATATACAGAAGGAGATCGACTCCTTCACGAAGGGAAAGGGAAAGTAACCTTTCCAACAGCTGTACAACGGTAATAAACTGAAATCAAACTACCTACCAATAAAACAAAGACACGTAGCTATAAACAGTAAAAATGGAAAGACAAGCGGCACTAACATCTACGACACCGTTTCAACTCAGCTCCTCCATTGCGTCTGAGGGAAACACGACGTCGTACATGGAGTTCTTCAGTGCTGCTTCATTCTTCGACCAGTTCCTTCATCTGTCACTCCATCAGCAATCATCATTACCTTCAATCTCTACCTCATAAGCTTTTAGTGCCCTCTATGTGTTCCATTGATGCCGTATTCCATTTCGGAATCTGAAGATTAAAGACCTCTTTGGCAGGAGAAGGCTAAATCACTGAAGTTACCTAGCCACATATAACAATTGATGCAGGGAGGACTCAGATTGCCCCAAGTGAGTAGTAAGCCTGTTGTTTCTTTCTTTTTTTGTAACCCGATTTGTGTTCCCTTTTTTTTAGCGTCACCATTATGATGCTAGATTATTAACTTGAATGTGGCTGGTGTTGTGACTACTTATTTATTGGAGTTAGCAAATGAACCTACCTCCTGCAGAGCTTTCTTCCTGACATTACTGACAAACGCTGCATTAGTCTATATTAATTGCTGTTTTTCTTGGTTCCTTTTTGTGAGTTGGATTCCTGAATGATTTATTAAGTTAGGCGTATGATGTGTACTTTTCTTTTCCAAATAAGAACTCCTTCATAAGATGTCTGAGGACTTATTAATAGAATTGGATGAGGTTTCTTAGGGGTCGTTTGGATTGAGTATGTGGGGGTGTTATATGACGTTATTCATTATAAGCTAACGCATTCATGAAATGTTATTCTTCTAATATTGGATATACAAAAAGAAAACAATGTGAACCATTACCTATAATAAATGTCTAAAAAATTATTGAAATTTCCTAAAAATATGCTTGTATACGATACAACATAAATATGTTTAGGATACAACACTTAGACAATAGTTGAAACACGAGTGGAGGAGATATCTACGAGTTGCATAGTCTAAAACTCGCACTCAATTCAAAAAAAACTTATTCCACATAAGAAAACTGTCACTTAAACTTAAACCTTAATTTTAGCAATAAATCTAAACGGATTTGCCCCAAACCCATTCCTTGTCAATAGATAAGCAGTCGATATGAGCAACTCTATTGTACCTATGCGACGAAAAGTGTAATAAACCAAGCTTGAGAGATGATCACAACACTTGAACTTCTCTCATAATATATGACACATCCCAAAGCATGTGCCGATCCACATTAATATGCCGGATTATCACATGCGCATCACCAGAAAAGAAGTAGAACACACTGGTGACAGAATGAGAAAGAAACCAACGCACTGCATCTCTAGGCGTCATCAATTCAAACATAAAAGGATTCGAGATACCAACGTAGAAGCACCTCAAATGCGAATACCGGAATGTACCACCTGTGGCGTAGCCAAACTTTGAATGGATTGGGGTCCTTAAAATTTCAAAATACTAAAGTGTGTGTATCTAATGAATTTTGAGTTGATTGATATCCCTAAATGAGCTAATTCGACGAGAATATGACTTTCTAAACTCAAAGGATCATACTAAATCCTACATTTTTAAAGGGTTTTGTTGTCTTTTTTTTTTTTTCAAATACGTGGCGGAGCCACTGTGTACCACAACCCACAGCACCACCCTAGAGAAACATTCCTTATTAGTCGTTATTGTGATTAATTTAATAATTTATTAACGGTTAGAAATTAGAATGTTATTTTATCCAGGTTAAGAATGTTTTTGTTAATTGTTATAGCCTAAGAACTAAAAACTAAAAAAAGGTGAGGAATAAAAACTGAAAAGAGTGGAGAGCAACAGATACAGAGATTTCATAGATTTAATACTAATAATATTATTATTATTATTAGATTTCTGGAAAAGAGGTAGAAACAATTAATTATTGATAATTACGTACAATAGGTGAGGAAAATGGAATCGTGGCTGATTAGTGGGTTTGGAGTCTGCCTCACGATGTAGTATAATTCCCCTTCTCGTCCCGTCCCCCCCAAAACTTCCAATACCACCAAATACTGTCTTCTCTTCTCTCATTAGTCATTTCATTTCTACAGCTAATCACAGTGCAACTTACATACCTCTTCCTATCCATCTTTCCTTTTGTTGTTGGAGGAAATATCTCTCCTCCTGGCCAGTTCAACAAAAAACCCTATTTTGCTTGGCGAGAATGAATATACCTATATTCAACATGTTAACAAAATGATATTTTGTGGTGCATTCGTGATTTTATCATAATATATTATCTTTAAAATAATACTGACTTATTCAACCGGTATATATTCATAAAAGAATTCAGTCAATATAGACTAATATAATACCAGCGAAATCAACACAACATACCAATAAACATGCCATCAAATAAGCAACTAATTAACCGCGTTATTCCGACCAATACACACTGTTGCTATACGTGTATCATATTGATTTGAAGTTTGCCGAATGTTTTTTACTCGGATCGCCAACACGACACAATATCATAAATTACGAAAAATAGATAGCATATACATATTTCGATGTTGTCATCACCCACCTGTTAACTACTTTGTTATGTAAATTGGAAACCGAATAAGGAAAATATAACTAAAAAAAGTTAACGTTGATCTGATCGGATCCCATTTTTTGATTTGATAACTAAAATCAGCTTTGACATAAATCAGAACTCATGGAAATATTTAAAAAAATTTCCCAAAATTATATTCCCGCTTATTTGTTTGTTAATTTACTATTTTTTTCTTATTTTTTTTATGAACGGTCAGAATTGTTTTTTCCCTACTTTGTATCACTTTTCGAATTTGGGCCTGTGGACAAATTCCGTCATAATAGATCTGTGCTTTCGGCCCATCTGTCGGGTCGGGTCACCATCACCATTTCACCAAACCCGGTTATCTTATTATGCCCATTCTCGTCTTCCTCCTCCATCAACGCCGCAAGCAATCAACAGCAGCAAAACACAGCTCTTTTAAGAAGCAGGAAAGAAAGACGACTACTACTACTTTGCACAATATATATATATAATATAATTCCTGCTCTTCTCATTCTCAACTCTCTCTCTCTCCCTTCCACACCTCCTCCATTCCCTTATTACTCGTCATTCTTTCATTCTCTCCCTTCATTAATTCATTCCTCCCCCGGAAAGCTTCCTCGTCATTCTGATGCGAGGAGACGATGATCTGCTCTCCCCTCCCATGATCTCCTTCAAACTGCACCACCGTCGCCGCCTGTTGGATCTGACATTCTCTTAAAGGTTCCTTCACTTCCCTTTTCCTCTCCCCGATTTCAATCTTTCTTCTCTCTTTTCAATTTTGCGCGATGAGCCTTGATTGCCTGTCAACTTCAGTTGCTTACTTGCTTCCTCCGATCTAATCAGCGGAGTTGAGCTCAGCTCAGCTCAGCTCACTCGCTGTTAGGTTTTTCTTCCCCCAATCGATGCTTGTTTGAATCGACGCTGCTTGCTGAAATATCTTTTCATAGACCGCGTAGAAAGAAGAAAGGAAATGCAGAAATGGAGATAACAAACAAAAAAAGAAAAGCAGGACTCCGGATCTACGCGTTTTATGTCCTTCCTTTTCTTACGGGATAACACCTCCTTGTTTTTCTCGGGAAAATTTAGGCGGAAAAGGAAAAGCCCAAGTAAAAAAAGAAAAAATTAACGAAAGGGTAATTTTCAAGAAAAAAAGATCCGAATCAATGATTCATCACTTTTGATCGTTTGAACAGAGAAGGCGGGGAGACACTTGGGTTGGTGGTAGGGTTTTAGAGATTAACCAGTGCAGTAAAGTAGAGCTGGTGTGTTTTCTTTTTTGAATAGAATCGTTTGAATGTACGTTGATGTTGGTGGATTTTTATTTCTCTGTTGGCAGGATCTCCTGGATAGAAACAAAGTTGGGTAAATTAAATCCAACGGAATAATTTTATTTGTAGAGATTAAGATTTTGGATTGGCGTCTAAAGATTTCGTTTCGAGATGATGACTCCGAAGTCGTTCAAGGTCAGCCGATCGAATTTATCAATCAGTTCAGATGCGACGGACTCTCAGAAGCCGCCGGTGCCTCCGACGGTGACATTCGGGAGGAGAACATCGTCGGGAAGGTACGTGAGCTACTCGAGAGACGACCTCGACAGCGAGATCGGAAGCAGCGACTTCATGAGCTACACGGTCCACATCCCGCCGACGCCGGACAACCAGCCGATGGACCCGTCCATCTCGCAGAAGGTGGAGGAGCAGTACGTCTCCAACTCCCTCTTCACCGGCGGCTTCAACAGCGTCACCAGGGCCCACCTCATGGACAAGGTCATCGACTCCGAGGCCAGCCACCCGCAGATGGCCGGCTCCAAGGGCTCCGGCTGCGCCGTCCCCGGCTGCGACGCCAAGGTCATGAGCGACGAGCGCGGCGTCGACATCCTCCCTTGCGAGTGCGACTTCAAGATCTGCCGCGACTGCTACATCGACGCCGTCAAGACCGGCGGCGGCATCTGCCCCGGGTGCAAGGAGCCGTACAGGAACACCGAGCTGGATGAGGTCGCCGTCGACGACGACAATTCTCGCCCGCTCCCGCTTCCTCCGCCTGGCACCATGTCCAAGATGGAGCGCCGCCTCTCCCTCATGAAATCCACCAACAACAAGTCCGTGCTCATGAGGAGCCAGACTGGGGAATTTGATCACAACCGCTGGCTCTTCGAGACCAGGGGAACTTACGGATACGGAAACGCTATTTGGCCCAGTGACAAGGATGACGATGTTCATCAGCAGCCTAAAGACTTGATGTCCAAACCTTGGAGGCCTCTCACCCGTAAATTGAAGATACCTGCTGCTGTTATCAGCCCATACAGGTATATACATTCCTAACCAAGTTCAATTCTGATTGCTTCCATGCTTCTGCAAAAGAAAGTTGCTACCTTTCTACTCCTCTGTAAGTGTTAGCTACTATAACAGATAAGAGCTTTTGTGGTTAATCTTGGTCTGGTGCTGACTGATTGCTTGATCCATTGATTAAATCAACCAATTTGCGGTGGTGCCTTCTCCACTCTTTTGTTTCAGACTTCTTGTCGTCATTAGAATCATCGCCCTTGGTTTGTTTTTGCAATGGAGGGTGGCCCATCCCAACCAGGATGCAGTCTGGCTGTGGGGGATGTCAATTGTCTGTGAGATTTGGTTTGCTTTTTCTTGGCTACTTGACCAACTCCCCAAGCTCTGTCCAATCAACCGAGCCACGGATCTGAATGTGTTGAAGGAGAAATTTGAAACCCCTACCCTCAGCAACCCGACAGGAAAGTCGGATCTTCCAGGGGTAGATGTATTTGTCTCCACTGCGGATCCCGAGAAAGAACCCCCTCTCGTCACTTCAAATACCATCTTGTCGATCTTGGCTGCCGACTACCCTGTTGAAAAGCTTGCATGTTACGTTTCTGATGATGGTGGTGCACTTCTGACCTTTGAGGCCATGGCTGAAGCTGCTAGTTTTGCCAACATTTGGGTTCCCTTCTGCCGTAAGCATGAAATAGAGCCTAGGAATCCAGAGTCCTACTTTAACCTGAAGAGGGATCCCTACAAGAACAAAGTGAAATCAGACTTTGTCAAGGACCGCAGAAGAGTTAAGCGGGAGTATGACGAGTTCAAGGTCCGAATCAATGGTTTGCCTGATTCCATTCGTCGTCGTTCTGATGCATATCACGCAAGGGAAGAAATCAAAGCCTTGAAGCTTCAGAGGCAGAACAGGGAGGATGAACCGGTTGACAGTGTCAAGATTCCAAAGGCTACATGGATGGCTGATGGTACTCACTGGCCTGGCACTTGGATGACTCCTGGACCTGAGCACTCTAAAGGAGATCATGCTGGCATTATTCAGGTATATTCTTGTAGTTCATTGGCTTTCGTTCTCCAAGCTAATAAATCTTTAACTGTTTAACTGATAAGAAGTGCGACGGTGGTCTATGCAGGTGATGCTGAAACCTCCAAGCGACGAACCATTACATGGGGGTTCCGACGAAGCTAAGATCATTGACCTCACTGAAGTAGACATTCGTCTGCCGCTTCTTGTTTATGTTTCCCGGGAGAAGCGCCCTGGGTATGATCATAACAAGAAGGCAGGAGCCATGAATGCTCTGGTTAGAGCTTCTGCCATCATGTCCAACGGCCCTTTCATTCTCAACCTGGACTGCGACCATTACATATACAACTCCGAGGCACTGAGGGAAGGCATGTGCTTCATGATGGATCGAGGTGGGGATCGCCTCTGTTATGTTCAGTTCCCCCAGAGGTTTGAAGGTATCGACCCCTCTGACAGATATGCCAACCACAATACTGTCTTCTTTGATGTCAACATGCGGGCTCTCGACGGACTTATGGGACCTGTCTATGTGGGGACCGGATGCCTCTTCAGAAGGATTGCTTTGTATGGGTTCGACCCTCCTCGATCAAAAGAGAACCATCCAGGCTGCTGCAGCTGCTGTTTCTCCAGCCGTCGAAAGAAGCATTCCTCAGTTGCACACACTCCGGAAGAGAATATGTCATTGAGGATGGGTGATTACGACGATGAAGAAATGAACCTCTCGCTGCTGCCCAAGAAGTTTGGTAACTCAACCTTCCTCATCGACTCAATCCCAGTGGCGGAGTTTCAAGGACGCCCGCTTGCAGATCACCCAGCTGTGAAGAATGGACGCCCACCTGGCGCTCTGACCATTGCCCGTGATCTTCTCGATGCATCTACGGTTGCTGAGGCAATCAGTGTGATATCCTGCTGGTACGAGGACAAAACGGAGTGGGGTCAGCGAACTGGTTGGATTTATGGGTCGGTCACTGAAGATGTGGTGACAGGTTACAGGATGCACAACAGAGGCTGGAAATCTGTTTACTGTGTCACCAAGCGTGATGCTTTCCGAGGCACGGCACCTATTAATCTCACGGACAGGCTCCACCAGGTGCTGAGGTGGGCCACCGGTTCAGTCGAGATCTTCTTCTCCCGCAACAATGCACTGCTCGCAAGCTCAAGGATGAAATTCCTCCAGAGAATAGCGTACCTCAACGTCGGCATATACCCATTCACGTCGGTGTTTCTGATCGTCTACTGCTTCCTGCCAGCGCTCTCCCTGTTCTCGGGGCAGTTCATCGTGCAGTCCCTGAACGTGACTTTCCTCGTGTACCTGCTCATCATTTCGGTGACGCTGTGCATGCTGGCAGTGTTGGAGATCAAGTGGTCCGGGATAGAGCTGGAGGAGTGGTGGAGGAACGAGCAGTTCTGGCTGATAGGTGGGACCAGCGCTCACCTGGCAGCGGTGCTCCAGGGTCTGCTGAAGGTGGTGGCCGGGATTGAGATCTCCTTCACTCTGACCTCAAAGTCGGGAGGGGATGACGTGGACGATGAGTTTGCGGATCTGTACATCGTGAAGTGGACGTCGCTGATGATACCGCCGATTGTGATCATGATGGTGAATCTGATTGCGATTGCGGTGGGGGTGAGCAGGACGATATACAGCGTGATTCCGCAGTGGAGCAGGCTGCTGGGAGGGGTGTTCTTCAGCTTCTGGGTGCTGGCTCATCTCTATCCATTTGCCAAGGGGCTGATGGGGAGGAGAGGGAGGACGCCGACGATCGTGTTCGTGTGGTCGGGGCTGGTGGCTATCACCATATCTTTGCTTTGGGTGGCCATCAATCCTCCATCGAACACTAACCAAATTGGGGGATCCTTCCAGTTCCCCTGATCACGAACTAGGTTTTCTTTCCTCGTCAGCTACTTCTGCTAGGCCCTCCTCTTTACTCATACTCCTGCAACCTTTGGCTGCTTGATTTTGACGTGATTGTCAGCCGTTATTCCTTCATTAAATTATTTCTACTATATATTGGTTCTCTTTTTCTTCAATTTTTTTTTTTTTTTGTAACTGTGACCGAACAAACAGAAGTATATGTCTTTCTATCCCTTTTGTAATGGGAAGTTTGATTTAGTGTTGATCAATCTTACAGCAGGTGATTAGTGAAAGTTGGTTCTGCAAACAGATTAAAAAGATAACTAGCTTTGACTGGTCGAAACCTTTTTTTTTTTTGTTTTGTTTCCATCATGCCGATGATTATTTCTTGCAGCCACCTCATTTGTTTGCTCTCTAGCAGTCTAATAACCTCACCTATCCGCTCTTGCATTCGATACCCGGAGGAAGAATAAGGTGGAAAAGATTCACAACGAGTCCGCCCGGAGGAGAGAGAGTCTGGTTTTTCGCTCTCCCCTCTCTCTTCCTGTTCTGTACGCCCGTTCCAATTATGACTGTTGGGGCCGAGCCTCCAACGGCGGAGGTCGATCACTGTTTGAAGCCTCCAGATGGATCACCGTCGACGACGTCGTGCCAACCTAGCAAGCGAGCAAGAGCCAGCAGGGGAGAGGGCTTCTCTGGAGAAGGGGAAATGGATTTTGCCGTTACCACGGCGAGATCCGAAGCAGAAGAAGAAGAAGCGACTGGATTGGGGAATCATCCCGATGGAGAAAAACAGGCTGAGGTAAAGAAGATGGAAACTGAATCGGGCGGAACAAAGGCCTCCTACAAGGATTCATTCCTTGGGAACAGCCCGCCGGAAGCAATCCCAGAAGGGGATGATTTGATGTCCGACGAGTCGGATGCGGAGGGTGTCGATGACGATCCAGACTGCCCCACGATCCGAATCAAGAAAAGTACTGATGCCCGAGTTCGTAATCGCTGAAAAAGAGCCATCACTTTCAGAGTTCTGGGTAAGATCTTCCCTTTTGCGTTCATCCATAGGAAAATACAGAACATGTGGGCGAAAATCGGGGGAATCAGAATTGGGGATATTGGAAATGGGTATTTCCAAGCTACCTTCGACTCGCAATTGGATCACGATCGTGCCCTCTATGGCGGACCGTGGACGATCGATGACCACTATATCGCCTCCGAGCCGTGGAGACTGGATTTCGATCCGGACTTTGACTCGATCAATAGGGCTTCGGTCTGGGTTAGACTTCCAAGACTTCCCTTTGCTTATTTTGATGAGGAGATCCTCACTGATATTGGGGACAAGCTGGGGCGTGTGGAAAAGATTGACTACAATACTGCAAATGGCTTAAGAGGAAACTACGCACGCATTTGCGTCGAAATCGATCTCAGAAAGAGGCTGGTCTCTAAGTATAGGATCAAGAGAAGGGTCAGACGTGTTGAGTACGAGGGACTACACACTGTTTGCTTTGGATGTGGACACTATGACCACCTTGAAGATTCTTGCCCACAAGGAGAACAAAAGGGGGAAAGGTCACCTGAGGAAAGGATGAAGACAAGTTTTAAACCTGCTGAACCAGAAATCAGGCCTGAGATATTGGAGGATTTCGGACCATGGATGCTGGCTACGAGGAATCGTAGGAAACCACGACAACAGGTAACCTCCAACACAAGAAAGAAGGAGACAGGGGTGGAGAACCAACAGACACAAGAAACCGGGTCAAGATTCGCAGTGTTAGAAGGGGAAGCGAACGAGGAGGAAGACGGAGAAATAGACCAGGAGGCAGCTGAGGAACAACATGATAGAATGGAGGAAACTGGGGCAGAAAGTGGAAAGGCTGGGAGTGAACAGAAAAAGGATCAAAACAAGGAAAAAGGGAAAGATAAGAAAGTGGAGAACAACAAGAAAGAAGGGAAGAAGATCATCAACAACATGACGAAGGACCCAAACCGAAAACCACATCAGAAGACTTCTCCAGAGAATTCTAAGGTCAAAACAAAGACAAATGCCATCCCCAAGAAACAGGAGGCCCTGATTCCAAAAAAGGCCCCAAATACAGCTAGCAAGAGTTCTGCGCTCCAGCAGCGGTGGCACAACATCCTACCCCACCCAAACTTGCATCCCATTCCATTTCAAAGGGTGGATCAAGCAAGGAGGTTTCCAAGGATGCAAAACCAGGCCATCAGCCAAAGATGAAGAAGATGCAACTCAAGATCACCAAAACCCCTGATAAGAAGAACAACAAGCAACCTGAAAATGTGAAGCACCAACCTCGGAAGATCAACTTTGAATCCAATAGAGGAAAGGATGCTCTTGAACCAGAAAATGCAACCAACCCTTCGTCAAGTATCCCAAGTTGCAGCGAAGAAAGGGGACAGACGGCTATGGCCGTCGACTCCAAATGAACGTCTCGACCTTTGGTCGATGTGAGGGAAGTGTCCTAATCCTTAACTTTTTAATGATTAAGGTCTTCTCCTGGAATTGCCGAGGTGCAAAACACCTCAAATTTCGTTCTACCCTGGATTTCTATAAGTCTACTCACAACCCGAATGTTGTTTGCATTTTAGAGCCTTGAATCAGTGGAGAGGAAGCTATCAAGGTCATCAAAACACTTGGATTCGATTCTTGGGAGATTTCTGATGCTACTGGATTCAGTGGAGGAATCTGGATGCTTTGGAACAAGAAGGAGGTTCAAATGAAGCAGCCTGAGATCCACAAGCAGTACATCCACATTGAATGTGCTACAACCAATGGAGATGTTTGTGTCCTCACTGCCATCTATGCCAGCCCAAATGAGCATGCTAGAGGTGATCTTTGGACGGCTTTACGTGACATTAGCCAAAGAACCTCTTGCCCTTGGCTACTTTTTGGAGATTTCAACACAATCACAAGGCCAAACGAGAAGCAAGGAGGAGCTAACTTCAATTTCTCCAGGACGAAAGCCTTCGTGGATTGTATTCAGGATTGCTGGACCTGGGATTCACCGGACCAAGTTTCACATGGTTTAAAGGGGATTCTGGTGTTCGTGAGAGGCTTGACAGAGGGTTATGCAACTGATAGACCGATAATTACACATGTTTTCACCCCTATTCTTGAGCCGTTTGAGATGTTGATTCTCGTGTTTTAAGCCGATTTCACGCTAGGTTGTGCGTTTATGTCATATTTCAGGACCCGGCGTTGGAATCGAGGCGAAGGAACGAGATTCGGGTCGAAAGGAGCAAGTGAGGCTTGAAGTGTGCTGGTGGACAAAAATACCCGGCCATGACTAGAAATACCCGGCCGGGTATTATTTTGAGGAGACCGGGTATTTGCCGTTTTGGACGTCTGAGGAACAGAGGGGGTCCCGGTCGTGAAGCTTAAATCCCCGGTCGGGGATTATTGGACATGACCGGGGATTTTTCCCTGAGGCAAAACGCGCGTTTCAATTATACCCGGTCGAGACCCAAAATACCCGACCGGGTATTTCGACCGGGTATCGCGACAGGCAGCAGTTTTAAGGGAAAAGAGGCTAAAAATCAAGGATTCCGAGTTTTAGAGAGACAGAGCGATTCCTAGAGAGAGAAAGCGACGAACCAGAGTTCCCAAGTGCCATAGCTTGATCTTCATCACCATTGGAGCCCGGCTTGAGCTTGGAGAAGTGCCGATTGACAACCAGGAGCAGAAACTCATCCTTCACAGTATGATTTCTGCGTCTGAATCTGCTTTTGCTTCTCTCTCCATGGAGTAGTTTCCCCATTCATCTGGGTATGGGGAACCCTAGATTTGTATGTTAGGTCTGATTGTATGAACCCAAGTACAGAGTTTATGATTTGATTATATTCGATTGAGGCTTGAATGATTGAATGACTTGAATCCTGATCAAATTCCTGTTGTTTCTGCTTTAACCTAGAACGAGAATATCTGCCTAGGTTGATAGAGCATCCTTAATTGAAGGTAGTGAATTGGCGACTTTAGTCGAGGAACCAATTCGCTATTCTGTACCGAATTCAATTCGGTAGTGGAGGTTTGGTTCGTTAAGGCCTCAATCTGTTTACTCCGATGGAGGTTAGTCGCCCGCTGGAGACTCAGATTGAGAGGGTCTGGAGACCTTTAGTCGAGACTTCAGATTGTTTAAGAACCTTCCGCAGTATAACTTTCATGAAAACTTAACCTGGTAAATTGCAATCCGGCTTAACTGCAGTCTAGGGGGAACCATATCCTGGTGAACTCTCTCTACTTGAAAACAACCGTTTAACTTGCTTTGTTTGTTTGTTTGTTGATTTGGACTTGCACTAAAGTTTCACTGCTAGATAACAAGAATTCACCGAGTAGTCATCAAATCTAGGACCCGGGTTGACATTAAAACCCAAACCCGCTATACTACGCTTTAGGAAGTGGTTACACTTGGCCATTTTCTAGAGTGACAGTAGGAGTGAGTCAAGTTTTGGCGCCGTTGCCGGGGACGGCTAGGTTGTTGAAGAAAAGTGATTTCTGTTACTTTAGCATTTTCATTTTCGCATTGATTGTTTGTTCTTTCCCACTTGTGCCTTCACGGGTTTGCATTGCTTGATTGTGTGCAGATAGTGCATGACCCGTAGCCAGTCGAGAGGTTTACTGCCGTTGGATCCAGAGATTGAACGCACCTGCCGCCAACTTAGGAGACAATAGCGAGCTAGACTTGCTACGGTAGAGCGCATAGACGGCCATTTGAGCAGCGAGTCCGAGGACGAGTACGAGATGGAAGGCGAACACAACCCACCCCCGGTGAATCAGCTCATGGGGAACGACCCCAGGCAGATGGGGTTCATCATCATCCACCGCCGCCGGGTCCCACCTTGGACTACTACTACACTCCACGGATTGCTGACATCCGCCCGGTCATCCTCTATCCGCCCATTCCAGCGAACAACTTTGAGATCAAGCCATGCTGGATTCAACTCATTACATCCTCTATCCAGTTCCATGGCTTGAAGGATGAGGAGGCAAGGGTGCATCTTTCCCGTTTTCTGCAGCTGACGAACGGGTTCAAGCTGAACGGTGTCCCGGATGACGCAATCCGCCTTCACCTCTTCCCCCATTCTCTGGCGGGGAATGCTAAGAGGTGGTTGGAGACCCAACCCCCATTGTCCATCACTTCTTGGGACGATCTGGCAGACAAGTTTGTGCACAGGTACTATCCAGCATCGAAAACCACATAGATTCAGCGGGAGATCACTCACTTCCGCCAAGAGCCAGACGAGTCACTTCGTGATGCATGGGAGCGGTACATGGGATATTTCTGGCAGTGTCCCCATCATGGCTTCAGTGATGCATTCACAGTGGGGAACTTCCACAGTGCTCTCTCCCCG